GAGTTACCCTGTGCCCCTGTGGTGGGGGATGGGCTCAGTGGGAATCAGTTTTTGGGGCTTTTGTTCTCTGGCACCTTTCTCTGGTGGCTTTCTGCATCTCTTCTGAGAGTCAGGGCAGAAGAGACCGTTTCCAACCCTCTGCCTCAGAGCAGAGAGACCACAGTCTGTTCTTCAAAAAAAGCAAATTTGGATTAGAAATCTGAAAGAAGTTATTATGCACTGCACTACAGGTCTTTTAAGACACTTTTAACCTAATGGAATGACACAATTATCAAAGATTTTTAAATAAAATAACCAGAAGTTTCTTAATTTGCAGATTCTCTTGAAGAGAGAAAGGCATGCAGGACAAATGCTGAGTTACAAACCACAGAGGGATCTGAAGAAGATTGGTTTCATGTGATCATCTGCGTCAGGAAATTCTACCCAGCAATGACCGTTTTCATTGGAAACAGAATTTAAGAATAGTTGAATCTGAGTATTTAGTCATCACACTGTCCACTAATGTACAGATTCACAAAGACATATACAAAAAGCTCATTAACCAAGTGATTCTGTAGATGGGCCAAGACCTTTATATCCAGATGTCATCAAATACCAGGCCCAATTCAAATGATAAGGGTGTCAATCCTTGCCCTTAATTGGGCCTTTTGCAGACATTCTATGCAACTTCATTACCATTATCTATTTGTCAGCAAAAGGAAAAAGAGGATAAACCAGAATGAAGTCCCCATGCTCACAGCAATACATTTCTGCTTGTTGTACAGAGCTCCACTGGTCTAGACCTGTAAGAAAGATGAGATGCAGCAAGAGATCCAAGCAGCTACTCAATGGTGAGCTGTATGCAATGAGATGCTGGAAGCAGGATGAGTGACAGAGATAACATAAGGGCACAGAGGAGTCCAACTTCGACAGGTGTTGCACAACTCTGGAACTCTAGGAAAGAGCAGCAGATGGACCAAACCGATGCATACCCATCAGGAAGAAGTAGCTGATTCTGAGCAATGGTGTTGGCAGGTTATGAGGTGGAGAGACATTGTGGCATACAGCAACAGGCCCTGCAAACTGTGGTTACAGCCACAAACCAAAGGACAGTCTTCAAACGTATACAGTGCTGAGAGGACCATTGCTACATATCATTGGCTTTAAGGACACCCATGTTTATAGAGCGCTGCACTGTTAGTGTTGCCACCTACAAGTGCTTGTTTTACTAGAAATGTATTCAAAATGGAATGACTATTTCAATAATTTTAGACCTAAAAATCCGTATTTTGAAAACACCAGTGAATTCTAATAGGAAAACTTTTTTGGTTTTGGGTGCATATAGCTGTTTTTACTGTACAGTGCTTCTTTGGTAATAGCTATGCCCATTTATTTTTAAGCCATTACCATCTTTCCATTACATGGAGTATCCTGCTGAGTTTACAGACATAGAGTTAGAGATAATATTTGGTTTTTAAATACAGGACAAAATTAGGAAATGGCTCAAAAGGTCCACACTAGGAAGTCCATGTTGCCTTGGAAAGAGAAAACAGTGAACTTAAGAAGCTTTTTAAAAAGAAAAATTGTAAAACAATCCCTTAGGATGACTGTGGGCTTGGGAAGGGAAATGTTGTGGTTATAACTAAATGCTGAAGTTTTTTTTTAAAAATGAAAAGTGAAAGGACTTTTTGAAATAAAATGAATTTATGTTGGGTCTCACTTTTTAAAGTCAATTTTCTTGACATTTGTTGAATTAGATGAGAGAAACAGCCTAAATTCTAGCATAAAAACTTCATGTAAAACGTACAGAAGTACGTCTTGACTCTTGAGTTGTTGAAAGTTCTTGAATAAGACTAGTCACCAAGAGAAGATGTGGAGCTCAGACAAACAGTAGGCATTCAATAAATATCTGCTGAATGAAAAAACTGAGGTAGCCTACATACAGTTCAAGAATAACACACAGATTGCGGCTTTACAAAAACCAAAGGCCATTCTGAATGAAAACTAACAAGGAGAGCTCAAAGAAAATGGGTCTTCTCCAAATTCTGGCTCTCTAGGTGCTCTAGGTTCCCTGAATGTGAAGGACTACTGATCTACTATGACTAATACTTTCTTCCTCCTTAAGAGCAGTTGGCCCAACTTTTTTCCCCTTGAAAAGGCCAACAAAAGGTATTCTGCTATTGGTTTTCATTTCTTCCTTTGTCTAGGTCACCATGATGTGTTAATATCCTCCCCCTGCTCATGTTTCTTCATAGTAGAGAGGGTGTAGAACTGTCACTGCGAGGTTGGTCCTTGGGGATCAGACAGAATGTGCACTGCACTGGCATGGAAGGATGTACTATGGTATTCCAGGGATCATGTGCCACCATGAAACAATGTAAGTCTAGGTGTTGGTGTTAGGTGGGACAGCCAGCAGGAATGGATGGAGCATGTGACTGCATGCAGGAGCATGTGACTGCATGCAGGAGCATGTGACTGCATGCAGGAGCATGCTAGGGGAATATGCCTTTAAGAATATGTTCAGAAGTCTGGTGTTTCACCCTGATAACAAAGTTGTATACAGAAGGGAAAGGGTTGGAAAGTGTATGTGGAAGAAAGACAGTAAATTTTGTAGGTAGGATGTGGCTTTGTAGAGAGGGTGTGGCTTTGGTCAGGTTATATAACTGATGGTCTTTTTGAGTTCCTACAGCTTAGATATAAAGGTAAATTTGGCTTCTAACACAGCTGGTCAATAAACATTCTCTACCAAGCTACCCGGAGCTATAGCAAACTCCGAGGTAAATAGAAAAGAGCACAGTCATACAAATGCAGAAATCAATTAGGGTCTTTCTGAAGGACTGTGTCCTGATTAATGAAGAGATTCCCATATAAGCATATCACCAACATAATAAATACATTAAAAATATTTATGACAGTTTTATATACCACCTGTCTTGGGAGTCAGAATGATGACCTGGGTGATTTTTTAAAGTGTCTTCTAGTCCAACAGGTTTCTGACATCATTCAATATTAAAAAAGGTCAGCCACCAAAAAGCTGTGTGGGTCTTAACAGAGAATGATGCCTAATGTGTTATATCTGTGACTCTGCGGCCATACCCACGCAAGGAAAATTAAGCAGAAACTTCAATAACTTATTCATTGCATTCAAAGAAATAAACCAAAACAGTTTGGGGTCAGTAATCAACTGGACATTTCTTTCCATCTCAATATTATACTTAATTTCTCTAACATTTGGTGTGTGTAGTCTCAGCACGTAACCATAAAGACAAATAACTATCTCGATTTGTGAAATCCCAGAGGCAAAATGAAGCCAATATCATTGTTGTGATTTGGAGAGAACTATGTTCTGAGAGATGCTGATATAATTTTATTTCATCAAAAAATATTATCAGCTATAAGGTAGGACTGACAGGGATTCTGTTTATATGTTGATATTTACATACATTAATAGCGATCATCCTAAACCAAAACTTAGTAAAGAGTCAAATTCAGGTGAGAAAGACCACTTATTAAAACCCTGCTTGTGATCACCAAGGAATATGTTTATTAGGATGAACTGCATATGGTGAGGTGCTGCTATTCTAATACTATTCAGCTGTTTAAAGATTCAGTCTTTCTAGTGGATAATGCACAGGTTTATTTCCCCCGATTCTTGCTCAAGAGAAGAATATAAACATTTTGCTTGGCTGAAAGAGCTAATGAATCCAAAATACTTTCAAAGATGATGCTTTCTGAATCACTGACAAAGCTAAATGACATATCTGCTTATTTGGTTTAAAAAAATCTCTTTAATGCGGCTGGCATCAATGATTCATAAAATTACTTCCGTTCAAATTTTAGCTCAGGGGCAAGAGCGAGATGAATAGACCTACTAAATAAAATCCTTGACACAGCTATCCACCTTTCCACTGTAAGAGAAAAAAAATGACTGACTACCTCTAGCAGAGTTAGGTCAGTGCACTAAAATATAAATAGAGAGCACACTTTAATATAATAGAGGCAGCTGTTCTATTCAACCAAAGAGGGAAAAGTCAGCATCGGTGACTGGTAACTGGCATTTTTATTTCCTAAATTGCTTATCTGTCTCCTTGACCTGAGAGTTTCCAGGTTCTTTATTCTATAACATGAATACAGTTTTCCAAAACTGTGTCTTACTAATGCCACCTACAAAATGAAAGCCCATGTTGATACTATTAGGTATATAATCTTTCCAAATAATGTTTAATTATCTGACAAATAATTTCTCTGAATTTGTTTTATGCTTATTTTCCTTTAATACATCTTTAATACTTTTAAAACATCCTATTGTTACCATTCTTTTTTGGAATGGCTTCTAGACAAGTGGCCAGTAGAAATTGTAGTTACATAGCCGAATTACAAAAATGAGAACATAAAACTGTGAAAGAAACTGAAGCAAAATTAATACTTCTAAAACAGCCAGGAGACCAAAAAGAAGTCAAAGTATGTTTAGTATGTATGTGCAGAGGCAGTGAGATGTCCATAGAAATGCTGGCAATGACTCATTTATATTTCTAAAAGAACCTGGGCAACTCAAGTGAATGGAGGTCAAGAATATATTAGGAAAGGGCACAAAAACCTAGGATAAAAAGGCTGCCAAATGTTGAAACTCACTGAGACCATTAAAGGTTTTAAAAAATACTCCTTTTCCTACTCTATTCTTGAACATAAGCTGTTTTCTAGACATAGATACACATTTTATATTACCTTATGACTGAACATTTACAATTTGATATTATGTCCCCAGACTGTCATTACTAGTTTAAAATCACAATGTGCTTGAATATCCTACATTTGTCTCTATTTCAAAACAGAGAAAAGAATATAATGTGAAAAAATTGACAAAATCAATACATATAATCAAAATAATAGTGTACATATAAAAAGAAAATTATTTTTGATTTTTAGAATAGGCCTACTTCCCAAACTTGTTAGTTATTTGAAACAATTATTTTTCTGATTTATATGGAACTCTAATCAGGATTTTCCATTTCTGATTTGATCATACCTTTTACATCTTCATCCTCAATTGTTGTATTTGAACTCTCAGTTGACTCCTGTTGAGAAGAAAACGTGTTAAGTTGCAAACAATGGAAAACTTCACTTTTTTTCTTCTTAAAATTGGCAAGTGATATATATGTCATGCAAAATTCATCAGCAAGCTGTGTACATATATTGACATGCAGATGGACAAATACATTATGTGGTTTTAACAGAAATAAAATGCCAAATGCTGCAAACATTTCAAAAAGGAGTACTCTGGTGGCCTACTCTGAAGCATGATAAATCTAGGTTATTTGTAGAAGCAGCCAAAGTATGCAACTTATTTTAAGAGCTGTGTGTGGCTGTATTTGGTTACAGTGCCCCATAAGGTGTGTTTTTTCTATATATTTATCATAAATTGAATATATTAGCCTAATGAATTTGACCCTAAAATAGAACAATTTCTCTTCCCAATTAATTAATCAGTAAGTAACCCCTTCTTTGTATAAGGCACTATATTAGGCACTGAATTCACAGCCTATTCGTCTTATTCTTGTGTAGAGACAGAAAGCATTTCATTGCATCATTTGATGAGGAAGCTAGGGGTACTAAGCTGAAGATGCTGAAATTGCTTTTAACAAGAATTTCCATGTTTGTGATCAGCGCAGTGGAATTATATGAATAATTTACTTTCAAGGACAATTAGATTTTCATCCATTTCTTAATTAGAAACTGGCTGTTATTGATAAGAAACCTGCTCCCATAATGGAAAGACAAAGCTATTTCTTTGTAAAACTACAAATGAAGTTGAAGATTAATAAGCACACTTAAAAGGACACTGTAACTACCAGTATTAAGATACAGTTTCTTAAAATGATTTGATAAATTCTTCCACTAATAATGTGCTAACAAAATATTTTCTAGCAAAGAAATTTAGTAGTATTCATAAGAAAAACACAATTTTCTACTTGTAATGATGAAAGGCTAGAGCTGAAAGGAATTGGAAACAAACTTCCAATCCAGAGCTATGTGCTCAGTGATGAAAAACAGATTTTGGAAAACGATGCAAATACCAATCAGTGTCCTTGTAGAGGTTCAAAAATCAAAAAAGCAATCAACTTATATAAATATCATACGTGATATTTAAGCCAAAGGGACAGACTAATTAAATGTGTATCCAGAGTCTCTCCATACACACAAAACCAAAGCAGAGAGTCTTCATGCGTTTCTTAACGTGACCTAGTGTTCAAATTTAAACTCAAGATGAAGGTAAACCCATGCACTGTAAAAGTAAACTAATTCATGTAAGCAAGAAATATCATGCAGCAACTCTTACAAATGATATAGCTAGAACTACTGAAGTATCCACTCCAGCTGTTATGCTTGGTCTTTCATTTGCTAACGATATTAAAAAACAATTGTTCTCCTATATGATGCTCCTGAGTACTACAAGTCTTTTAGGAACTTAAAATATTTTAAGTGTCATGACCATAAAATACATCTCATATTAAAGAATACTTGATTTTCTTATTTTAATGATTTTAATACTGATCAACTAAATGTTAAACCAGAGAAAATGTGTTTTCTAAGATGTAAACATTGTTGATAAGAGTAAGGAGAAATTAGACCCACGACTATATTTGATATTTGAGAAAAATCTGATGAAATATTTTTTCCTTCCCTTAGAGATACAATAAAATATGAGAATTAGTAAATTGGAAACATGGAATACGTTCAGAAAATGTCTCCTTTCATCCTATAGACATGTATACAAGTACTATTATTTAGTTAACATGCTACACAAACAATCTACAACAGACAGAAAACATTACAGTCTTCTTTCAGCCTAAGTGGTTAAATATCTGTTACTGAAATGCATATAATTCAACAAAAACAAACATTTCATAAGAATTGAAACTCCCTGATTATCCTCAATTTCATGCCAAACAACAAAAACAACACCAACAACAGGGAATTAACAGAAAAAGCACTATGACAACAGAATAAATAAAACTCAAAAGCAACATTAAATTTAAACACCTATGAACTCAAGTTGATTTTTTTGAAGACAGTGAAATGATATAGCAAGAAATTCTAAAATTTCATGCAGAATATAACTAAAGTACAATGCACAGACAGACATGGAGAAGAAAAAAAAAAAGGACCAGATGGAATTGCTTAAGATACACAGTCATCTTGACATAAAGACTTTGCTTAACCCGACTTTTATTGGCCATTCATTTCTCTTTCAAGATGTCATTCATTTTTGTTTTGAAAGAAATATGTGTACAATTCTAGATAAATTAGGTCCCCCCCAAAAAAAGTGTGGTAGAAAAAGGGTAAGAATTTTCTTTCCCATGTTTAGATAATGAATTAATTTTGCTTTGGACATTTGATGAAATGTGTAATCTTGTTAAAGCAAGATGATGTTGATTCTTTCTGAATACCTTGTTTCCATCAGGGTTGTGGATTACAGTAGTTTGGGGCTCCTGAGTGAGAACAAAATAGAGAAAGAAACAGTTCGCATTGGTAAGTACATTCTTACTAGTGTGAGGGACAGAGCAGAGTGAGCCAGCTGACAAAACTAAATAGTGACCAGAGCTTAAGCGATGTTAACCACTGTCAGAGGTAGCAGCTGACAAGATCACTGATGAAAGATCTCCCTGATGAGCCCATGAGATAGGATACCTCAGTACCCAGCAGCAGCATGCAAAAGACCTTATTCGTGATCATTAAACAGACAAGGCTTTGAAGTTTGGAGACCTAAAGAGGCACTCACTGTTTCACAAAGTTCTGTAACAGAACTTCCTTTTCTTCTTTAGTGAGTAGGCTGTTAACGTGTGTCCTATAGAAAACGGACCAAGGACCCTAGAGATTAGAACTCTTTAAAATGATCTTGAATCCTTTGTGAGGATTTTTTTTCCGGTGTATCTTTGAGAATGGATTATGGTGTCATCACTATAGTTAGTAGTGTATAGTTAACACACAGATAAATACTCTGAAAAATCTAGAACATTGTGCCTTGCTTTAAAAAAAAAAAAAAAAAGGCTATCCTAAAGAATGTATTTCAAAAGTCCATAAGCAATTCTATGGAATACTGAGTAAAAGGTTCATTTAAAGGATTCTAGAACTAATCATATAATCACTATAATCTACTAAATGCTATGTTAATTCATATCTAAAAATAAATTTCAGCTTTATGGACTACATATACAGATTTGCTTGTAAAGTCATGCTTTTCCATGAAGAAAATATTATTATTCCTTTCTGCTTTCTACCAGAGAATTGAAGAAATATTCCCAAATGAAAATAACACTCAAATGACTGATGTTAAAAAAGATTCAGTGTCCACTGGCATGCTTGGCACTTTCATTGCATGATGTCTTGGTAACCGAGTTACTGCAGTCCACTGAAAGTTTTCTCCCACTATAAGCACTCTGTCCTCTAGGATCTCCTCTTCACCAGTTTATGCTGTAACAGTTAGAGAACACATTTACTGCTTCCCTTCTTCCTTTCCCTGGCTAGAGGTGTGATTGACATTGTTTTTTACTCATAGATAACTTGCTATCTTGATATGTCCTTTTTCCTTTAAATGTTTTTAAATTGAACCTTCTGGTTAACCCAAGTGAAATAATTTCCCTTAGTATTTTTTTATTCATTTAAAATAACAGTACAGAGGACAGTAAAAAATCAGAAGTATTTCAGAAAACCTATATCAAAATATGTAATAGGTTGAGCAAACCATTACGGAACTCAGAGTACTGAATGCCAGTATTCAAATCTTGACTTTTAACATAACACTATCTCAAAGTCTTAAAATGATTTAGTTGTAAATAGTGTGAATTTGATTAAAATGGGCAAAACTGGCTTCCACTGATAATTCAAGGCTCTATGCTATACATTTCATTCTTTGGATTAAAGTGAAACAGTGATCATTTAAAACACAACAAACAAAAAGCTCAAAATTACCCAATGCCTCTTTATCTCAAAAAGTGAGGTCTTACAAAGCCCTGCTGTCTTTTAATAAGAAGAAATGGGAACTCTGAATAAGGTCTACATTTACTGTTGTCTAGCAATCATCCCCTTAGCTCTCCTTGATGTCAATATTTCCATCAAGAAAGGAGGAAACCATTGTTTGCATAATCTAGAGCTACCATCAGAAGAAGAGCTAAGAGCAACCAAAGCGCATTCTACTGTATTTCTAAAGCAGCATGCAACAATTTCAACTACAGAGACCACAGCTATCAGAATAATGTTCAATAATGAAATGAGATCATCTCATGTTAGAAACACACTGCTTGGCAACTACCTTAACAAAAAGAAAAAAGAAACGAACTTTTCTTATATCTTTGAAAGCAAAACAAAACCCAACAAAATAAAATACTTAAATATGTATCTATATAGTGAAAGCAAATGAGAGAAACAACAAAAAACAATAAAGAACTTAAGAAGGGTTACAAAGAGTCCAGGTATACCAGCGCCGGGGTAGGAATATTTTCTTTGGGGCTGGTTACCACGTTGGCTTTGTTGTTTATCTGTAGGTATGCAGAAAATAGAAACAGAGATGCCTTAAACCCCTTGGTAGCCAATGTCTCTACACTGCAGCATGTCTATGTGGAGATATAGACATGAAAATAAAGATCCACTGAGGATGAACGTGAAAGACACCGTGATGTCTGACAGGAATGATACTCAATTCTAGTCTCCGGTGGTCACACACAGGCTAGAACTGTGTCTGTGACGGGGGATGACGAAACAGCCTTGGCCGCTTTGGCTGTGCCACACTAGCCAACAAAGAACTGCTTCAGTGGAGCGCAAATCAAGTTTCAGAGTATGAAATAAATACAAACATTTTCATACTCCTCAAGTTGGATTCTGTTTCCGGCTTCCAATTGTTTTCTGTTATGAATACATTCCTTTTTTTTTTTTTTTTTTTTTCCATTTTATTCTTGATCCTGAAGTCACACATAGACCGTCTTTCTCTGGGAAGCCACCGTCACTTTGCTTAGTAGGTCAAAACTCAGATCTTCAAAACTTAGATCTTCTGATGAAATGCAGGCTTTATAATATTTTTTTAAATGATAAGTCTGGGCCTCCTTTAAAATACACATGTCCAATTATAAATGGGCAAACTGAATTCTTTACTATATTCTGAATGTAAAAAGACTTTTTTCACAATTGTTTGAGAGGAAAACACTGTGTTTTCTGTCAAAGTGTTACACTTTGTTTTTCTTTCAAAGTGCTACTGTTGAAGATTGTGTTTGGTATATCATTCCTTTGCTTTAACATATTGGGGTTGACCTTAAAAAAAGATCATATCACAATGGAAGCCACGTGGTGAAAGCAACTCAGAGGGTCAGTAAGTATTATAATGGTCCATAGAGAAAATTCTTTGTAGACAAGTGGAAACTTGAAATCACAAATGAGTTTGGGCACTAAAGAATCAAAAACTAAACAGTAATAATCAACGTTCATTTAAACTCATGCATGATAACTTACATTACGGTTACCAAATGGAGCTATAAATTAACATTCATTCTCTTGTACTACATTATCTAGGTATTTTCTTTACATATTATTATCTAAAGGAACACATCTCATAATTTTAGTATAAATGTTCTTAAAGGTCTCAAAGAGAAAAATATACTGCATAAAATAGATGAATACCAAATGAGTTTATAAGCAATTACACCGATTTTATTGGGACTTTCTAGGAGGGTTTTTTTTTTTTTCCTTTTGTATTTTATACCTGAAGATCATATTGAAACCAGTACTGGGAAGAACATAGAAGATTAAAGAAATTAATTTAGGCATGTAATATTTTGCTTTTCTATTCATTCACATTTGTGTGATTGTTTGGTATCAGTATTATTTAATTAAGCCATATAACACTAAGCTCTGTGATATGCAGAAAAAGAGAAAACTTCTGGTGCCCTTTACTGAAAAACTCTTTAAATATTAAACCATCAATCTCTACTTTGCAGATGGTCTAAAATTTTTCTTTAAATAAAAGTGTACAGAATTTAACATCAAATTTGTGCAACAGCCAGAAAGAGATAAGAGGTAATGGAATCTATTAAAAAGGGATCAAAATTTAGTACTTATGTTAGTATGAAATACATGATGAAAGAGGAGGGATGCACACACAAATAATTTCCTATCAGGAAGAGTGCATGGCAAAACACAGCTGACTTCTTATCATATGATCAGAGGTACTTATAATGAAAGCACCACATATATTTAATATGTTATATTCAGTTTGTATCAGCGGATACAAAAGTAAAAGAGGAATACACTGAGATACTTTTACTTCTGTTTTGAGAGAAGAGACTTGATTATTTTCTAGAATGGTTGTGAAGAACTGATTTCTTTCAGTGACAATGTCACACATGCACACCTATGTACACGTACTTCTCTGCACAAATGTGTGCACACACATACAACACAAACCCCTACACACGTTCACACATAGGTACACGCGTACATACAGCACCAGGTCTTCCGATTGAGGGCCATTCTGTCTAGATTAGCCATGCTTTATTGTCAGGCATGGCAAATAGGAGTTAAATGAATATGAGACTCAACCACCACTATTAGTTGTGTTTAAATGTACAGTTACAAACTTTTTAAGTTAACGTAGATAAGCCTAATGATCTTTTATTACTATGGGAAGTCTTTTGAAGGTACTTGCAATATTAATTAGTTGAAAAATAATAGCAGAATTTTTAAGTAAAAGACTAGGAGGACTTCTTTTTTATTAAAGAGTCAAATATTAAGTAGGAGTTAAACTATAAGCTGTCTTTTAAACATATAAGAACTCTGGCACTTTTGTTTATGAAATGTAGTTAATTTATGTTATGGAAGCTTTTTTTCTTAATGAAACTAAATCAAACCAGATATTTAAGTGATTCACTGAATTATTGTTATGAGGCATGGGCAAGATATTTTTATTTCTCAGGTGTTAAGTTTATTCAGTTTTGAGGTTAATAAATGTTTCCTCCTATAAGGTGCTTAACTAGGATAGGTTCCATTGTATGCTCACTTTCACACTATTTATAAACTTCATGGTAGATACATTATAGTGTATCTGAACTAAAAATAACTCCTATTTTAATCACGATCATCACTTAAAAATAATCCTAGAGTATTCCTTCACTTATCATTAAACAGACATTAACTATGTCATGATCTCTTTAGTTTCAAGAGAAAACTGGACTCTGGTCTTATAAAAGATCCTTTAATAGCATATGGATAAAGGTATGGATAAAGGTATAAAGCATATTTTAAAAATTCAATTTCAAAGATAAACAGTATTATGTGAATGTGGGTACTGTGTTTTGATAGTTAATTGACACTGACATGTAATGGTCCTACACTTTCTCCACTTACACTAACTTAGGTAAATAAGACTGTTTTTATTCCTAAGTGTGAATTTTCACAGGAGGAGAAATCTGGCAGATAGAGATCCTCACCATCATCTGAACACTCGAACTGGACTTCCTTTTCTGAATTGACCAGTCAAAGAGAAAGGAAAAGAAAAAAATATGACCGGTTGAATTTTTAAAGTATCAAAGCATGGAGCACAGAATAAATTTCTCTTTAAAGAGAAGCTATAAGTCGTCTAGAAGAAAAAAAGTTCTGGAAATGTTTCTTTCTATATAAGGATAGTAGTAAAAATAAATATCTCTATAGGAACTGTGACCTCTACATCACTGAAAGGTACAGAAAAACACAGAGTGAAACATTTGGAAAATTTAAAATATCACATTTCCACCAATGTAACATTGGGAAAAAGGCAACATCAACTGTCATTAATGAAACTGAAACTGAATAAACTAAGCAGAAGGAAGAGAACATTACAGGTTGAGGAAAGCAATTGGTAAAAGGCAAATGCCATCCTAATGGGAATCACAAGTGCATGGTAACCACAGCTCTGGAAATTCCCAAATCACACATAAATAGGAGGTGAAGAAATGATTGGGCATGAACATAAGAAGTGATAAATGATTTTCTATGTTATATTTTCAAAATAAACTGACCACCTGACTTTGGGTCAAGTTCAAATGTTAGAATATTAACTAATTCCCAAGAATGTTGAAGTGTTCATGAGGAATGTATGCATCTGCCATTGGAAAAGAAAGAAAAGGATTAAAGAAACAAAATACTTAGGTAATACTCCAGAAAGATAACAAACATAATACAAATATAAGGTTACATTCAATCAAAGATAAATTCCCATGAAACAAAATAAAATCAATAGAAAATAAGTTCTATTACTTTGTTTAGAAATCCAAGAAAGCCAAAATATCCTGTTATCTTTTTTGGAAAATTTTCCTATAATTTTTTTAGAATATTCACCTTGAGTATGTCTTAATCCTTATGAAAGAAGCACAGGAACAATCAATACCTTTATAAAAACTGCCCAAGCAGAGAAATTTAATTATTTGACATTTAGTTTTCCAGACCGTATGATTTGATTTTTTTTTTTGGGGGGGTTATACATTTCAGCAGACTTCCAGAACCTAGCATAACTAGTTGCAAAGCATTTGGTTTCCATTGATTTTCAGGTCACTATGATAGCTTGGGAGTGTAGTAAAGCAGAGAGGATTTACACATTTTCTACAACAACTTCCTATAAAAGTATTATTTTGTCAGATTATTTAGTATATACTGAAACAGAAAAATATACTTTTTCTTGACATACATATCAGTCATCTTTACATATTAATTATTTTATACTTCAACCTGTCTCCTTTAGAGGAACTATAAAAAATACAAGCTGTGAAAACTCACAAATTACATTTAACATTTAAAAATGATCCAGCATCTGAAAGTCAGAAGTGATTTTAGGAGCACCTTTTTAACTTACCTTTACTCCATCTGGTTTCTTCAACAAACTCTTGGCTGCTGCAAAATGAGAGTAAAACCATTTCAGTGAGTTATCCACAGAAACCGATGCCAGGCAACAAATCAGGTTATTGTTTCCTTCTATCACCTTTACTGAGTTATGGCCAACATATGCCAAGTTATCAAGGTCACACTGATGAGCGCGAGCTTACAGGACATAGAAATACAGTATCACTTTTCTTGGTTTTGCCACATCAAATGTAGCACTAAATTCTTATTCAGTTCATTGCATAAATTGAACACTTTGCCAGTTATGTTATTGAACTTTATTTCACTGTTGGTTGCGAAAAGGATACTGGAACTTTAACTGGACTATGCTTTTTGTAATCCAGAAAGTTGCTTTCAGTCTTCAGACATCAGCTGACAGATTGTATCACATGTTCATTCATACCACAAGTATGGTGACCATGTCAGTTCTGCCACTTAAGCCCCTCTTTCTGAAGGTTTGAAATTTATTTGTGAAAATTTGCTCTGGCTAAGTAACATCCTTTTAAAATATATATATATATATATATATATTTGAAATCAGAGCTTTCATCTTTACAAAAAATAGTATTAACTGTATTTAAAATGAAGGGCATATTATTGGCCAAGAGCAAATTTTTTAAACAATTAGCATAGGACCTTTAAAAAAAGGCATGATGTATTCTTTTATACTCTAAAATCAGAATACAAAGCTTTCATAAACAAAAGCCTTTTACATCAAAAAATTAAAAATCATAAAATTTGAGGTGAGATATAAAACAAAACAAAATCTTCAACTAATCAAAGAACCGTTGAATTATATGGTCTCATATGAAACTTCAATTTCTCCAAGGACAGCTTTTAGCATTCTTTCTGTTACTGAGCTTCTTGAGTATATTAGAAGGTGAAGTCATCCTTTCAAAAAATATACCTAGTGAATGGGTACATTCATACACAGTTAACAGATTATATAACTGCTAATGACAATCAGTACACCAAGTGTAGAACATATATGAATATGCAGGACAAAGTATATACCTATGTTTCCATTAAATGTTTTATATATATATAATATATATAAGTTATATATATATATATATTTACTTAAGTATATCAGAGTAGACTTTGGCATCTGAAATGGAAATACCTAGCTATAACAGAACTGCATGAACATGTAATTTCCTGACATCCATTTGATTTGGGATATTATTTTGATATCACTTTGGTATAATTTTAAATTTAAGATACAAAAATGTTAATTTTGTTTAGTCCTTAGCAACAAAGCTATTAATTTATTATTAATTGACATTGCAAGAATAGTTGCCTTAGCTATAGTATTTGCCTAGAGTTAAAAAGCAATATTAAGTAAATCCAGTGGCAGTTAATAGGTTAGAAAGCAAACTCAGAATAGTTGAAATTGCAATAGCAAGCAAAGAGAAGACAATGATTCAGGGTAAGCAGGGATTTGGCCTGGGAGATGCAGAAATGTCCCTTTTGGTTACTATTCACCTTACCTCACAAGAAATACATTCCACATAAAGGGAGAAAAGAAAAAAAAAAATAAAAACAACTTTATAACCATATACTTATGGACAAATTACTTTAAAGAGCACGTTTGCTAATGAAACAGAATGAATAAAATACTCAAAACTAAAATGCAATATCAAGTACAAGATGTTGTAACTGGGTCAAATGTTATTCAGTTGGTTTTGAAGTGATGGATTAAAAAAAAAAAGTTTGCCTTTCATGTTAGACATCAGAAACAATATAAAATTCACACATTAGTCATGAGTTTTTAGTTTACACAATGATGAAAAGGAAAATGTGATGTACACAAAAAGCTTCTATACATGAGTGTTATATATTTAAAAAGGCCCAATTTATGCCTAAGAGTGTATTTAAGACTAACAAAATACCCAGTCTTAATATTGGAGATTTTTTCAAGTTAGTTTATCTTTAACAATATATATTGACCATCCTATCTTTTATTGATTCACTAATTTTTGGGCCACAGTGAAATATTTATTTGAATATAGTATATATTAGTTAATATTTAATGAGATGATATTGAACTCACCCATATAAATGTCAACTATATTAATCAACTGTTCATAAAACAGGTAACTTGACAAAGGCAGTAATGACGTTTTATTACACCAAACAAATTGGACAAAATACATACATTTGACTAACACAGTCCCTCAATTTGTAGCATTACTCATTGTATTCTTTGTTGCTGTTTAACAGGTCAGTGGAAGCCTTTGGAAAGCCTCCTATGGTTTCACATTATGTATAACTAAATATAATGGGGGGCAAAAGCTGACCATTTAACATAGTCATAAAAAGTAACTAAAAATTAGTTGAGAAGGTTGAAGAACATTTGATAAGGTTATGGATCATCACCTGGTAGCACTATAATACCCAGGAGTTAAGTATGTACAGGGAGAAATAACTGAAGAATAGCTGGATAATTTGATGTCTCAGATCTCTCTTATATAAACAGTAAGCAAAGTAAAGTGGTAGTATTTTTGGCAAATCATTTGATAATCCTTCCAAATCTCAATAGCCACTTTACCAAATGCAGCTTTCTTGCTGCTTCAGTTCCTCCCCATACATAAGACTAATTAGAATTTACCAAAATTTGATTTTTGGAAACCTGGTCCTTTGTGATTATTGAAGAAGAGGGTTCCAAAATTCAAGTAATTTCTGGACATAATATATATTAATTCCATTTTAGAAAGTCATCCTATAATAAAGAAATGGCTTAGCTTCTTTTATTTAAAAAATTATTTTTATCATGGAATCATTTTTATCATGGAATCATTTTGAGGAACATTTATTATCCTGTGTTATTACCGTGAGGTAGGGTTCTCTGTAAATTCTTGAGTTTAGATACCTTTGAAATATGCAACCATTCCTATAGGGTGCCAAGATACAACTGTACTTTTGAAAGAACTTGGGCCTAAGAGAACTGGGTTCCTCAATAATGGTCTTCTGTTAAAAATCTTGCTTATTTGGATTCCCTATGAGACAAACAACAAAATCTTATTCATAATTATTAGTTGATGAAATATCAATGACCTAATTCTAGGTTCGAAATGCTGAGCTTCAAGAAGAGGGGGTACATATTGCCACAACTTGTGTGTATCCCCAGCAAGGATGACCGGTGGGTTTCAAAGGCTGCACGGCACTGACCAGGGGAGGGGCTGCTGGAGTGCTCTTGTGAAGAGGGCAGTCACGTGCCTAATGTCTCTGTGGAGACAGTACCCAGGAGGATTCCTAATGACAGGCACTCCATGCGATGTATCTGCTATCCCTAAACAACAGTGTTTTTCTAATTACTAGGTTTCTCTTTAATTCCAAGATGACTGCTAAAGAGGAAAGCAGTGAATAAGGGACAGAATTCTTAACACATGTACCTGAAAAGTTCCTCGTAGCCAGCATAGTTGTCAAGATGGCACCCTGTCAGAAAAATAAGAATATGAAATTAATGTTGCTCATGCAAATCTTTGACCTGACAAATAAACAGTCTTTGATAACAAATCGTCTCCTAGCCTTACTTTCAGTCAGGGGATTTTTATTTGTCTGCTTTTGTTTTTTTGTTTGTTTGTTTGTTTGTTTCCTGAGAGCAGCAGGCTTATGTCTCACGTAATGCTGGGGCTGCCCTCATGTGTGTGGCCAGATTCCAATGGTCAAGTTGCACAGTTGTTTTCCTCTGAAGGGAGGAATCACAGCACACACTGCCACAGAGATCCTAGCTCTTCACTGTAGACTTAATTCCAGTGCACTATTCCATTTTCTGAAGACCCAGAAGAAGAGTAATAAGACTACTGAGGTCTGCACATTTAAAAGCCTTTGCTGAGGAGTTATTTTCTCATATAGAATCTCATTTCTCACTCTGCCAAGTCCACCTCCCCACAAAAATGTAAAATTTCTTTTTTTTTTTTTAAAGATTTTATTTATTTATTTGAGACAGAGAGAAT